AGGCTGCACTTACAGGCAAGGCATATCTCAACAGAGCTGTTGACAGTGTGAACTGTGGCAGTCTGAGTGATCCTGGGATCACCGTGGCTTTTCTGGCTCCTAGGAAATGTGGGCTATCTTGGGAATGTTACCACTTCTTACTGGATATCATAGAGGTGCTAAAAAGGAAACACAGCCTTCTCCTATCTTCCAGAGCAGTCACTCTGATCTGGACTGATATTTTGGTTAAACGAATCACAGGCAACTCTGGGTGCTGGTGACAACTTCTACCAAGCACTCAGCTGTTTGCATTATGTTCTATTACAGCATGTATTTGTGACTAAAGAACTGAAAATTCCCTGAAGTATTTTCCTCTCTGACTGAAGTAGTTGACTCCTGGCATCAAATGTGAAGTGCTAGGTTCTGTATTTCTGCTTTTCGAGTATAAGTAACTGTGCAAAACAAAGATATAAAACTCTGGTTTTATCAGATTCAAACTCTGAAGACATTTGGAAGTCAGGGACATGCCTTGTCTCCTACTTTCTCTTTCTTTGTGGCCTCAAGATCATTAATTTAGTGACTCAGCTCATTTTTTTACCCACCTCTTAGAAAAGTTGAACGTGCATGTGACCAGGCACTTAAAGTTACTTCCTTCATACAAAGTGTTTGAGACGTTTTTAGATTTACAGCAGCCTTTGTTTACTGTGTAATTCAGTCCTGTTGAGGAACTAGTAAAGCTGCATTGTGCAGACATCAAAGCTGAGAGGGTGTAAAGGAACTTACCAGGTTTCTAACAAGTGGAAAGTTACCAGTTGTCCAAAAATTAACTACCTCCACCCCAACTAACTCTTTTTATTTCTGAGAAATAATTCAGGGTTTAAAATATCAGTTGGAGCCAGACGACGTGGTACACTTGAGGCAGGCATAGCAGGGTCTTGAGTTTGAAGCCAGCCTGTTCTCCATAGTGAGACCCAGACTCAACCCCCACCCTCCAAAAAAAAATCCCATATCAATTGCTCCATTCTTCAGAGTGACTGTCACTTTCTTTAGTTCCTTTCAGATAGCTGAGACTCTCTAGTCATTAAAAAATTATAATTGAAGAAGGTGTTAATGGATGATGCATTTTAGTTTGTTTCAGAATTGAGCCAATTTTTTTTTTTGTTGTTTTCTCTTTCCTAGGAAAGAGAGGTTTCTAGGAAAGAATAGGTTTTTAGCTTCACTTTGCAGGTAATAATTGCATCACAGATAAGGAATGATTGGTAGCTTCGTGCAGCAGACACTTGGAGCAGGACTGGTATTGCCAAGTGAATTGCCAGACTCCCTGGGGTGAGGGACAGGCAGAGAAGAGCTCTGTTAGGTGGCAGCAGAGGTGCTGTTGAACTCGTGTCCTCATGAGCAGAAGTAAAATCTTCTATGTATATTGCAGGCATATGCAAAAGCAGGTGGATTTTGTGCAAGTCTTCCTGTTCAGGTATTTCATGGAGCGTGCAAATATGGCAGCTGTTCCCAGGCCCTCACAACTTCGTTTGCAGGAGTCACTTAGGGAAGAGGAGGCAGGAGGGCTCGTGTTTTCTGTCATGGATGCTCCACTTGTCTAGACTGAAGTCTGGAACTGGCTACCTTAGGAGCACGTCTTTATTCGGAGGTAGTGGCCTGCAGTCATTGAGATTTCTCTTTTTAAAATGGTCAATTTTTACATACCATACCTAATCCCATTTTGTTTCTGTGGAAAGGTTGACTCTCTGGGTTGTGGGAAGAAGATGATGTTTAGAAGAGGTCAGGGTCACATGGAATATCAGTGCTCTCCCATTCATTACTCCCTTGTATCATTCACAATAACGTGTGGTGGCTTGACTTCTGGTAGCATTTTGATGAGATAGACCACAAAAATAGGAAGATTGTGGAAATGCCCGGCTCCTACCACATACGAAATGTGATTCAGAAGAAAAATGCTCTGCCTGTTAATTTAAATTCTCTTTGTGGGTGTGTTAGGCTCAGCCCACACAGTCACCCTTGAGTGTGTGAGGGAACCTTAGGAGCCAGAGGGTGTGTGTGGAGGCAGCTGGAAACTACTTACTTTCTTATTGCAGCTAGAAACCTTCAGAGACTTTAAGACATCCTAATAGCTTTTTGTTACTTCAGCTATTAAAACCCTAGGTCTGTTAAGGTACTGCTCTTCAGCCACATTCTGTAGCTCCCTTGTCCTTGGGGACACAACCCACCTCATCATGAAGTGACTGAATCCAGTCCTGCTTCCTTGCTCATGCATCTAGCCTGTGTCTTCTCCACACACACATATTTGAGCTGTTTCCCCCAGCTAGCCCAGCTTTTCTTTTCTGGGGAGGGATCGATCTTTGTTTTTCATTCAGAAAACCTTTCCTAAGTCTAAAAGCTCTTGTGGGACCTTGAAGATGCTTCCTACCCATGCAGTAAATACTCAAGTTCAAGCACTGTGCCATAGGCGGGGGCCACGGCAGTGAACTTGACCAGGATGGGCCTTGTTCTCCTAGGGCTCCTGTTTTTGTCAGGGAAATCACCCCACATTTACATCCTTAAGCATTCTTTTTCAGTTTGGAAATAATTACAGACTTATACAGAGGCACAGCAGTGAAAGGAGCACAAAGTATTGTCCTATCCACTTCACCCCCAGGTCCACCTGTTGCTTGTAGTTTACTGTCTTGTTCTTGCTCTTACTGCGTTTATATGCAACCTCTTTCCTGGACACTTTTATTCATGTACTTCAGTGTGCATTTCCTATCACATGATAGCTGTTAGCTTCATAAATTTGTGACATTCAATTACCATTGTAACCATTTTTCAATCTTTAGTTCCATGGTATTAAATATACTTATCATGTTGGGCAGCCATCTCACCATCTAGCTCGGCAGCTCTTTCTGTCCTAAAATGCTGTATCTATTAAACAGTAACTCCTCATTCTCCCTTCTCCAGCCCCTGGCAACCTCCATTCACCACTCTAAATACCTCACATGCATACAATCATATAGTATTTACATTTTATTTTTTTTTTGGCGGTACTAGGGTTTGAACTCAAGTCCTTGTGCTTGCTAGTCAGGCATTGTACCACTTGAGTCATGCCCATGCTATCTTTGCTTTCGTTATTTTTCTCATAGAGTCTTGGGCTTTTCTGGGCTGCCAGGACCACAATCCTCCTATTTACACCTCCCACCTCTGCCATAAGCTTATTGGTTGAGATGGAGCTTCTCTAACTTTTTGCCCAGGCTGGTCTCAAACTACGATCCTCCCAGTGACCACCTCCTGAGTAGCTGGGATCACAGGTGTGAGCCACAGTGCCATGCTTGTCTTTGTTTATTTTGTTTTGGTGGGACTGGGGTTTGAACTTAGGTCAAACTTGCAAACCAGGCGCTCTACCATGTCCCTCCTTGTCTTGGGAATTCTGATAGGGATTACATTGAATTTACAGATTGCACTTGATAGGATTGACATCTTAACAATACTGAAACGTGTTTCCATTTATTTCTTTCTTTTAGCAGTATTTTGTGGTTTTCATTGTATAAGATTTCCACTTTCTTGGTTAAATCCTAAGATTTTTTGTTGTTTTTGTTTTTATGGTGCTAGGGATAGAACCTAGAGACTTGACAGTGCTAGCAGGTTCTCTACCATTGGCATACACTCCCAGCCCTTTTCCTTTTTTTAAACTTTATTTTGAGACAGGGTCTTGCTAAATTATTGAAGCTGGCCTTGAACTCAAGATTCTCTTGCTTATGCTTCTGGGAGTAGACGGAATTTCTGGTGCTTATCACCACGCCCTGCTAAGTGTTTTGTTCTTTTCAATCTTATTGTAGATGGGTTTGGTTTTAGAATTTCCTTTTCAGATTGTTACTTGTTAGTTTATAAAAATGAAACTGATTTTTGAGCACTGACTTTGTTGAAAAATACTTTAGTCCAGTGTTGTTAATCTTAAAATGTCTTACATAGCTGTCATTCCCCTCTGGTACAGGATTTAATCCGAGGATCAGATAATTGCTTCTATGTCCAATGTCTCTTTAGCCTCCCTTAATTTGGGATATTCACACGACCATTCTTTTTGTTAAGACATTGACATTTTTTGCAAAGCACACTCCTTTTTCTTTCCTAGAATGTTGCTCATTTGTGATGTTTCCTCGTGATTAGGTTCAGATTACGCTTCTAGGTCATGATACTGGATAGTGATGTGTCTTGTGGGAAAGCCCAGATGGAGGGCCACAACATCCTGGAGTCCCTCATTGGTGGAGTTAATTTTGATTATCCAGTCTGAGTGTTGCCTTCTTTCCGTATTGTAATTACTGTGAGGGCTTTTGATGTTCCCCCTCCCTTTCTCTTGTAACTAATAAGCAATTCATCTTGAGACACTTGGATTCTGCATAACTCTCTGGCTCCTCAAGATTTCCCCCCCTAGATTTAACATGTCAACAAGATTCTTGCCTGGTCCGTTTGTGTGGACTAGAGTTCCTATTTTTGTAGTGGGTTGTAATTCATTGTTGTGCTTAGTTACTTTGGTGCTCAAATTGTCCAAGACTTGGTTAGTGGGAGCCCTGTGAAGCTGGCCTCATGTCATTAGGTGCACCATTTTTTCTTGCACAGATGCAAGAATCTTCGCTTGTCTTGTCACCCTGCCTTATCTCTAGGGTTAGCCACTTTCCCCAGGAGCACTCACTCCCTGCTTCAGCATTTAGCATACTCCTTAGTTTTTTTTTCCTTCATCAGGCTGGACTGTCCCTCTTTCAGGTACATATGTATCCATCTTACTCATATCTTCACCTAACATAAGACTTGGGACATTAGGTATTTACTAAACAGTTTTTGAGTAAAAAAAATTGATTTTAGGCTGGCAGAGTAGTTCAGACAGTACAATGCCTGCCTTGCAAGTGTAAAGCCCTGAATTCAAACCCTAGTACCACCACAAAAAAAGAAGAAAAAGATTTTTGTTACAGTTCAGTGATTAAAATTGGGTTCCAAAATTATGATGCTGATAGATTTTCTTTTTTTCTCCCTTTGTCTAGGAAGACATGGTGGCTCTTTGGCAATGAGAAGCATTGAAAACTGACCTCCTGCTGGTGTATAAGCACTATGGGACCTGACATTTTGACTGCTTGGGCAGCCAGCCTCCACTGCACTGGACAACACTAATCTGATCTTGAAGTGGCTGATTGTGGCAGGATGTGTGGACGATGATGATGGCAAGGAAGCAAGATGTCCGCATTCCCACCTACAACATCAGTGTGGTGGGGTTATCTGGGACAGAGAAGGAGAAAGGCCAGTGCGGCATCGGGAAGTCATGTCTGTGCAACCGTTTTGTGCGCCCCAGTGCTGATGAGTTTCACTTGGACCATACCTCTGTCCTCAGCACCAGTGACTTTGGTGGACGAGTGGTCAATAATGACCACTTTCTCTACTGGGGAGAAGTCAGCCGTTCCCTGGAGGACTGTGTGGAATGTAAGATGCACATTGTGGAACAGACAGAATTTATTGATGACCAGACTTTCCAACCTCATCGGAGCACAGCCCTGCAGCCCTACATCAAGAGGGCTGCAGCAACCAAGCTGGCATCAGCTGAAAAGCTCATGTACTTTTGCACTGACCAGCTGGGCTTGGAGCAGGACTTTGAGCAGAAACAGATGCCAGATGGAAAGCTGCTGATCGATGGTTTCCTCCTTGGGATTGACGTTAGCAGGGGCATGAACAGGAACTTTGATGACCAGCTCAAGTTTGTCTCCAACCTCTACAATCAGCTCTCGAAAACAAAAAAGCCCATCGTGGTGGTCCTGACCAAGTGTGATGAGGGTGTTGAGCGGTACATTAGAGATGCACATACTTTCGCCTTAAGCAAAAAGAACCTCCAGGTCGTAGAGACCTCAGCAAGGTCCAACGTAAATGTGGACTTGGCTTTCAGTACCTTAGTGCAGCTCATTGATAAAAGCCGGGGAAAGACCAAGATCATTCCTTACTTTGAAGCGCTCAAGCAGCAGAGTCAGCAGATAGCCACTGCGAAAGACAAGTACGAGTGGCTGGTGAGTCGCATCGTGAAACACCACAATGAGAACTGGCTGAGTGTCAGCCGAAAGATGCAGGCCTCTCCAGAGTACCAGGACTATGTCTATCTGGAAGGGACTCAGAAAGCCAAGAAGCTCTTCCTGCAACACGTCCACCGGCTCAAGCATGAGCACATTGAGCGTAGGAGGAAGCTGTACCTGGCGGCCCTGCCCTTGGCTTTTGAAGCCCTCATACCAAACCTGGATGAAATAGACCACCTAAGCTGCATCAAGGCCAAGAAGCTCCTAGAAGCCAAGCCGGAATTCTTGAAGTGGTTCGTTGTGCTTGAGGAGACCCCGTGGGATGCCACCAGCCACATCGACAACATGGAGAACGAGAGGGTTCCCTTTGACCTGATGGACACTGCCTCTGCTGAGCAGCTCTATGAGGCCCACTTGGAGAGGCTGAGGAACGAGCGGAAGAGAGCCGAGATGAGGCGGGCGTTCAAGGAGAACCTGGAGACCTCGCCGTTCATAACCCCTGGGAAGCCTTGGGAAGAGGCGCGCAGCTTTATTATGAACGAGGACTTCTACCAGTGGCTAGAAGAACCTGTGTACATGGACATTTATGGCAAGCACCAAAAGCAGATCATAGACAAGGCAAAGGAGGAGTTCCAGGAGCTGCTTTTGGAGTATTCAGAATTGTTTTATGAGCTCGAGCTGGATGCTAAGCCCAGCAAGGAGAAGATGGGTGTCATTCAGGATGTTTTGGGGGAGGAGCAGCGATTTAAAGCATTACAGAAGCTCCAGGCGGAGCGCGATGCCCTCATTCTAAAGCACATTCATTTTGTGTACCACCCAACAAAGGAGACATGCCCCAGCTGCCCGGCTTGTGTGGACGCGAAGATCGAGCACTTGATTAGTTCTCGGTTTATCCGGCCATCTGACCGGAATCAGAAGAATTCACTCTCTGACCCCAACATTGATAGGATCAATTTGGTTATCTTGGGCAAGGACGGCCTCGCCCGAGAGTTGGCCAATGAAATTCGAGCTCTGTGTACAAATGATGACAAGTATGTGATAGACGGGAAGATGTACGAGCTTTCTCTGAGGCCTATAGAGGGGAATGTCAGGCTTCCTGTGAACTCCTTTCAGACACCCACCTTTCAGCCCCATGGCTGCCTCTGCCTTTACAATTCAAAGGAGTCACTGTCCTATGTTGTTGAGAGTATAGAGAAGAGCAGAGAGTCCACACTGGGCAGGCGGGACAATCATTTAGTCCACCTCCCCCTGACCTTAATTCTGGTCAATAAGAGAGGAGACACCAGTGGAGAGACCCTGCACAGCCTAATACAACAAGGCCAGCAAATTGCTAGCAAGCTTCAGTGTGTCTTTCTCGATCCTGCGTCTGCTGGCATCGGTTACGGAAGGAACATTAATGAGAAGCAAATCAGTCAGGTTTTAAAGGGACTCCTGGACTCCAAGCGTAACCTAAACCTGGTCAGTTCTACTGCTAGCATCAAAGACTTAGCTGATGTTGACCTGCGGATTGTCATGTGTCTGATGTGTGGAGATCCCTTCAGTGCAGATGACATCCTCTTTCCTGTCTTGCAGTCCCAAACCTGTAAGTCTTCCCATTGTGGAAGCAGCAACTCTGTGTTACTTGAACTTCCAATCGGGCTACACAAGAAGCGCATTGAACTGTCAGTTCTTTCTTACCATTCCTCCTTTAGCATCCGAAAGAGCCGGTTGGTTCATGGGTACATTGTTTTTTATTCAGCCAAACGTAAGGCCTCCTTGGCTATGTTACGTGCCTTTCTTTGTGAAGTGCAAGATATTATCCCCATCCAGCTTGTAGCACTCACCGATGGCGCCATAGATGTCCTGGACAATGACTTGAGTCGGGAACAGCTGACAGAGGGGGAGGAGATTGCTCAAGAAATTGATGGAAGGTTCACAAGCATCCCGTGTAGCCAGCCCCAGCACAAGCTTGAGATCTTTCACCCATTTTTTAAAGACGTGGTGGAGAAAAAGAACATCATCGAGGCCACTCACATGTATGACAATGCTGCCGAGGCCTGTAGCACCACGGAGGAGGTGTTCAACTCCCCCCGGGCAGGGTCGCCGCTCTGCAATTCCAACCTACAGGACTCGGAAGAGGACATTGAGCCACCATCATACAGCCTGTTTCGGGAAGACACGTCACTGCCCTCTCTGTCCAAGGACCATTCCAAGCTCTCTATGGAACTGGAGGGAAATGACGGGCTGTCTTTCATCATGAGCAATTTCGAGAGTAAACTCAACAACAAAGTACCTCCACCAGTCAAACCAAAGCCTCCTGTCCATTTTGAAATTACCAAGGGAGATCTGTCTTATTTGGACCAAGGCCACAGGGATGGGCAAAGGAAGTCTATGTCTTCTAGCCCCTGGCTGCCTCAGGATGGGTTTGATCCCTCTGACTATGCGGAACCCATGGATGCTGTGGTCAAGCCAAGGAATGAAGAAGAAAACATATACTCTGTGCCCCATGACAGCACCCAAGGCAAGATCATTACTATCCGGAACATCAACAAAGCCCAGTCCAACGGCAGCGGCAATGGTTCTGACAGTGAAATGGACACGAGTTCTCTAGAGCGTGGCCGCAAGGTGTCCATTGTGAGCAAGCCGGTGCTGTATAGGACGAGGTGCACCCGCCTGGGGCGATTTGCCAGCTACCGAACCAGCTTCAGCGTGGGCAGTGACGATGAGCTGGGGCCCATACGGAAGAAAGAAGAGGACCAGGCCTCCCAGGGATACAAAGGGGACAATGCTGTCATTCCCTATGAAACAGACGAAGACCCGAGGAGGAGGAACATTCTTCGCAGTCTGAGGAGGAACACTAAGGTAGATACCGACTCAGGATGAGTTAGAGGAGTGGTTGGCTCAGCTCAGCAACTTGGTGAGAGGCCATTGATATTGGCTTTTCAAGGATACTATGCATGAGAGAGAGAGAGCGAGAAAGAGAGGGAGAGAGACAGAGAGAGAAAATATGAATGAATTTATTCTCTGATCCAGCATTAAAAAGTTAGCAGTGTCTCAGATAGCTATTACTGGCACCTTGGAGAGATAGCCTGAGCGGTCTTTGTCTAAAACAATTTCTAAAATGAGCAGATAGCACAGAACTTCTCAATGTGACAACTGACAGTATGGTTGCTCTTTCTTCACTTGGACACTAGAATGCAAAGTCACATCCCAGCCTCAGTGCTGAGCATCTGTGGCCTCCATCCCTTACACACTCTTTTCTCCTTGTACTCTCCTGCAGAGGTTGGCGCGCTATAGATTAGTGAATTAGTGTAGATCAGCAACAGAAGTGGAAAAGAACTGCTGCTGAGAGGTATAAACCTGTCCTGTATTTGTCAGATGGGGCACCATCTATCTGCGTTATTTCATTCTGCACAGAATCGCTGCTGCCATCAGTGAGAGCTGCGGAGTGCATTTAGGCACCACAGTGGGGCAGAAAGGGAAAGTCTGCAGTGTAAATGTCAGGCCTACTCTTCCACATGTGGAGGCAGTCGTGGCAAAGGCAGGAGCAGGCAGATATTCTTCTCTCACTTGGAATTGTGGTTTGTAGTTTGCAGGGCAGAGGTCTGTAAGGGGTACACTGTTCTCTTGGGCTTGGGCTCTGAGACAAGAGTCTTTCCCAGCCTACTCTTTTCTTTTTTTCTCCATTTAGATTAGGGGGAAATACTGTTTTTTCAGAGAAAGACATCTTGGTGAGAGATCCAAAAAAAAAAAATACAATGACCCTTGACCAGAATTTATGACATACAGAATGGTTTTTTTTCTACATTGAAAGCATTTGCTCCTCTCCTTCCCACAAAACAGCAGAGAACAGTCACTTGTCTGAAGGTATTACAGGAACCTTTCGAAAGAAAAGTTTTCAGAAACTTAGCTGCTACAAGACATGAAATCAGAAGGACCCGGGGTCCGGGCTGACTTGAGAGCTAACACCATCTAGCATAGAGGCCAGTTGGGCAGCCTCGGGCCCTCAGACGTACATGAACCTGGAGCCCTTGCCTCTCACTTTGTGGGAGTTTTCTTGTGGTACAGAGCAGGATCATGTGATCTGTTCTCACTGCCTGGTGATTATTAAGTAGCACTCCCTTCTTCCTGTTTGATTTCCCACCACTTGTTTTTCCGCCTTTAGTAGTTTGTTCTCCAGTGTCAGGTGTGAGGCAGACCCAGTGAAAGTGATCCTCATTTAGGGAGCCAGAAAGCAGCCACCCCGCATCTTCCCAAAGCTCCCTGTTTAATGAAGCCAGAACCCAAACATTGTGAACATGTGGCTGGCTTCTCTTCCTCCTCCACTCTGGGAAAGACTGTTGCGGAACAGCTCATCTGAACGATAACAGTCTTCTAATTTGTGGGGGTGTTAGCACACCTGGGAGTTAGGAAGGTGGCATAATAGCACACTGAATTAGAACTCTCTTTCTGACTTGTGGCAACATTTTTAATACTTACCACAAGTGATGCCACATGAGTTGTGCTTTCCAGGGCTCACACTGCAGTGCAGGCTCCACAGGAGCAGCCTGATCCCAGCCTTGGGTAGCTGTGTTCCTGCTGGTGGCCCGGCTCCCTTGGCTAGGACTGCCTCATACGCTGTTGGGTCAGCAGTAAGAAGGGGTGACTTCCTGCCTGGCTAGCTATAAGGGCTCCGCCTCTTCACGTCAAACAAATGATTCCTCTGGCCTTAGAGCAATTGCGTGCCAGCAGTCAGCTTAGGAATATCCTCTGGAAAGAGTGAGTAGAAGGTAGAATTGTCTCTTCCCGTCTTGGAGGATGGTGCTTTGGAAGGGTCACCCAGTGCAGTGAGGAGGAAAGACTTTGCTGCGGGAGCAAATGTCCTGTTAAGATCGCTGCCATTAAGACTGCTGACTGATACTTGTTTTCCTGGAAAAGCAAGATACCGTCAGGGCTAAGGGTGCCAAGCCAGCCTCTTGGTGGGGGAGTTGGCTTTTGAGTTTTATTGGCTTGACAAAGCAATACAGCATTTATTTGGAGAGGGAAAGCCAGGCACTCTGATTTCAGTTGGTCATGGAAAATACTTGGTGCTAGATACTGCTGGGGAGATGGCCCCCCTTCTTGTCCAGGCCATAGCACCCAGTTGGGGCAGCAAAGCCTACACAGCTACTGAGAATGGGTCATCTGTCTGCCCAATAAAAGCTATGTGTAGGCAGAGAGCCCCTGTGAGGTGTTGGGGTGGCTCAGGTAGAGTAGGGGTAGTGAGGGTAGTGATTAGCAGCTGAGGCTCTGGGAATCAGGGCCTGTGGTCACATCCCAACCCCCTACACCTCACCTTCGGCACCTCTCCTGGCCCTTCTCTAAGGAGACCTTCCTCAGAGGGGTGTGAGGAATGAAGCACAGTACGAGGGAAGCCTTGACTGGCTGAAGCATGGCTGTGGCTGTGGCCTGGAGGTAAGGGAAGACCCAAGGTGAAATGGGCAGGGAGGAGCAGACGGTCTGGTCTAGCTGGCACTGCTTCCTTGTTGTGTAAGGTTTAGCCCTCAGTTCCCCCTCACCTTTCTCCGGGCTTACCCTGGCAATTGCCCTCATGCACAAAACCTCTGTTCTGGGCATCAATTTGATGGGGAGAAAGGAAGGCTCCAAGTGCCGTTGGCTAATCTGCTAGCTGAGCTCTTCACTGTGTAGCCGTAGCCAGAGTGAGGGGTGCATTTCATCTTTCCCAATGAAAGTGCAGACTGTGAAGCCCACTTCTGGGTCCTTTTCCCAGGGGAATCATTCAGCAACCCACCCTCAGTGGGCGTCTTCCGTATCCACTGAATGAAATTCAAGCTCTGCTCCAGAAGCCTGTGAATAGAGCTTTGTCTCAGCACTGGTATCGCACATGGTCCCTGTCTCCCCACGCTGTGCGTCTGCAAAGGCAAGATCAGGATCGGTGGCGCTTATTTTAAAGCCAGGAAACAGGCCAGGGTGCTTGCTCACAATTGTGCCTTTGGGGCTTGCTCAAATTGCTGAACTTGGTGTGTTTGACCACCATTGAAAAAGACATCATTGGCTGTTGTATCAGATGTGTTCTTATTTTTGTGTTTAAAAAACAAAAGAATGATCAGGAAAATGCTTCACTCACTGTAGCTGCCACATGACAAGACAGCCCATTGACACGCTGAGTAGTTCAGTCCGGCATTGTTCATCTATGAGGCGCAGAGTAACCAGTTTGACAGTGTGTCTCCCCCTCCCCCCAGTGAATCGGCTGTTTTCATTGGACTCAGTGAATTGGCTGGTTGTTGTGGCTTTGTGTGGACACAGCTCTCATTTTGTGAGGCCGAGAACAGAGTTAAAGTTTCTAGTGTGAATAAGAACCAGCTGGGGAATTGGACTGCTCACTCCCTGGGGAGGGATGCTGGCTTTGACAGACAGGCTCAATGCTCTGTGCTAGATATGAGCTCTTTGTAACTTGCTCAGGAAAGCCTTCATGTGGGCTTGAGAAAAGGCTAGTCCTTGCCAATGGGCTGGAAGACCAAATCAATATCTTGGTTTTAAAAGGGCACTGACTTGACCTTGGACTTTCTGATTCCTGAAAAAAAATGTTGTCTCCTAAAGGAAATACTTTGGTTGTAGCACACAAACACATTCATTCTTTTAGGAAGGAAACACTCAATTTAGTGCATGGGCTTTCCTGAGCACTTGCTCATGCCTGGTGCCATGCTAGGTATCATAGGTGTGGGAGTTCAGATCACCTTGTTTACATTCTGCAATTTTTTTTTTTTTTTGTAGTACTGCATTTTTTTGAACTCAGGGCCTCATGCTTTCTAGACAGGCATTCTTACAGCTTGAGCCACTCCACCAGCCCTTTTCTGTCATGGGTTTTTGAGATAGGGTCTTGTGAACTATTTGCATAAGCTGGCTTTGAACTGCCATCTTCCTGGTCTCTGCTTCCTGAGTAGCTACAATTATAAGCGTGAGCCACCAGTGCCTGGCTTATACTCTGTGTTTTGCATATTACTAGAGGGGAGGTACTGGGTACTAAAGGCATTGTTGAGTGATGAGTTTTTCCCTAAACTGGCATATCTAGGAAAGCTCCCCAAGGAAATATTTCAGTGGGGCACTGGTGGCCCACACCTGTAACCGTAGGTATTTGGGAAGCTGACATCGGGAGGATCTCAGTTCAAGGCCAGCTTGGGCAAATAGTTTGTGAGACCACCATCTCCAAATTAACCAGACCAAAATGAACTGCAGATGTGGCTCAAGCAGTAGAATGCCTGCTTTGCAAGTGGGAAGCCCTGAGTTCAAACCCCAGTCCTACCAAAAAAAAGAAAAAGAAATGATATTTCAAGCCGAGATTTGTGAAGAGCCAGGCAGGCAGAGTCTGTGAAGATGAAGGCTTCCCAAGGAGACTGTGGAACTCAGAGCTGAGAAACAGGACCTGTTCAATTGGTTGCCTATAGCCTAATGTGGCTGCTGCAGAGACGGGGGGGAGAACTAGGCTGAGTCATAGACAGTGTACTCACAGGCATTTGTTGAGTACCCACTTTGTACCTTGTAGGCCTACTACAAGGCATCCTCACATCAAGTTTTCACTTCTCTTCCCTTCCCTTTCCTTTTTTTTTTAATGGTACTGGGTGTTGAACCCAGGGCCCTGTGCATGTAGACACATGCTCTACCATTGAACAATGCCTCAGCCCTTTTGTTTGTATTTTGCTTTTTTTGGTTGTTGTTGTTTTGCAGTACTGAGGTTTGAATTCAGGGCCTACACCTTGAACCACTCCACCAGCCCTTTTTGTGATGGGATTTTTTAAGATAGGGTCTTGCAAACTATTTTCCTGGGGTCGCTTCGAACCTCTGTCCTCCTTAGCAGCTAGGGTTACAGGTGTGAGCCACCAACA